TCTTTGTAACCCTGCCCGCGTCCGTCCAGCCTGCGGAGCCGCACAGCTGCCGAGGGCAGAGACGCTGGGGCAAGCGGTGGCCTGGAATTGAAGGGACATGGCCCGCCCCAGGCTGCAGGGGCAGAGGTGGCGAGAAGGCTGGTGGTGCCGCACAGTCAGTCCCGGCTCTTTGTTCCCTCTCCTCCCAACCTCCCGCACAAGTCTGAGTGTTCCAGGCACGCACAGCCCTGGCTACTCAGCCCCTCCCCTTGCAAAAAACAGGAGACCAAGGAAACTCCTCTCCCATCGGCATCGTGTGAGAAATGGGGAGGAGACCTTTCCCGTGCCGGACTGGGTAGTCAGTGGTAGTTCTCTGTGGGGCTGGAGTACCTTTCTGGCTCCAAACCAGGCAGCAGGCCTGCACTGCCAGCTGACCAGACTCTGGTGGCCACACAGTGTGGCCATCTTGAGCTGGGCAACAGGGCTCCTGCTGAAACACCAGAAGTCTCAAGGGTGGGGAGGGGGGAGAGCAGAATGGGCGCATCCAGGTGAGGGCTTTCAGTCAAGCAGGAGGCCTCGGGGCTAATTGCAGTGCCTTGTCTTTTGACACAGGTGATGATCTCAGTAGAAATATGTGGGCTCGGTTTAGAGGTGCCCATCTTATAGCAGTTTAATAGAGAGCCTGCATTGTGGGGCAGCCATGCCAGATGTCAGGCTTGCTATCACAGCCATTTTGACAAAGGTGGTTCTCTGAACACCACCTCTCTGCCCTGCACTACAGTCCGCCCCTTCTCTCCCTTCCCACAAGACTTTCAAGCTGCCCCACTTTAGCATCACTCCCTCCTTCTCCTCACACTAAGACTTGTAGCTCACTCCACTTCTCAGTAAAGACCACCCATTGCCATGGTAACATTTCCTCTTACAAAGTTGCAAGCAGACACAAAGATATGTTTCTCCTCTGCTTTAAAAACCCTCTATCCCTTCATCCCAGTTAATAGGCCAGAACTTTGCATGTAGGGAGGGCATAGAGGGCTCTTGCATTTAATTTTCATTGAGGAGGGAGAAGTTATTCCAACCCCTTTGCTCCACAAGTACTGAAGCCTTGCGTCACTGCAGGCAAAGAGCTGTCATTCATGGACCACCTGAAAGCCCTTGAAGGCAATGGTGCCCCAGGTGGATACTGGTACTGCAGATACTGGTCCTGCACTGGGAAAGAGTAGCTGCTGGTTAGAAGGGACAGGGCCCATGGAAGACAAAAGAGGGGAATGAAGACCTGTATTTCATCCACTCTGAGCAGAAAAAAATCTGTGCTGTGATTGTGTTCTGTTGCTGCCCCCCTGTGCAGCAACTCATGGAGTTGGTTTCTCTTCCCAAAAATTATTTTTTCAGCTTATAAAGCTAATTTGCCTGTCTTCAGGACTGTTGACACCCCTTGCTGCTGCAGCCACACCATGAATAATGATGTGGTACTACTTACATGGTAATACCAGTAATTTAAATCTACCCTGGATGCACCCATGCTTCACTGCAGCCATAGCTGTGACTGCACTGTGGTCAACAGCCTATACTTATCAATCTCTTGTTCACTTTTCCTTCTCCTCTTACTTATATGCATCTCCCTCTTCTATCCCAGTGGATCTGCCCCAGGCCTTTGCAACACTGAACAAAATCTTTCTTTCATCCTCCTTTT